CCTGGACAGGTCCGCGACTTGCGTGAGTGCCGCCAGAAGAGCCACGGGCTCACCTACAAGCTGACTCAGCAGGAAGTAGACTACTCACGCCTGGCCGCCGACGTGAACTCCCTGAGGGAGAAGGAAGGATCTCTGCGCATTGAGGAGGTGCATCTGGCCAACCTTAACACAGACACAGAGCGAGAGGTGAGGCCGACATCTTGTTAGAATTTACGTTCGCAACTGGTCGCTTTTAACCCTATCCGTACGCCCTGGGGTCATTTCGTACCCCAGGTGTTGTATTCTTCACATTTTATAATACGGCTAGTGCGAAGATCTCTTTGAAACTTTCAGTATTTCTAAAAAAAAATCATTTTGACAGACTGCTATATAAAGCGTACGGTTCTGATTAATGAGTAAATTTCCTCTTCGGAAAGTGGTGGCACAGAAAGTGGTGGATACAATAATAAAACACGACGTACGGATAGGGTTAAGCACAAGGGGGCTACCCCCCCCAAAAAAAAATAAAAAATAAAAATAAAAAAATAAATAAATAAATACATTAAAAAAATGCCGTTTTGAGAAAATGGAAGGTAAAGTTTTTGGACCCTTGTTCAGTCTCCTCAAAAGTTAAAAGACATGGAGAGTTTTCTCTATAACCAAACAAAATAACACACCAATGAAACCAAACTTCTCCTATAGGTAGGACAATGCCTACTTTGGTGTACGTCAAGATTTCTGGAAACCCACGAAATCTGGGTTAGCCCGCTTGTCCTTAAAAGCGACCTATTGTAAAATGAATGTATATTATATTTTATTATGTCCCCATCGACACAATTTTTGAATATTAATTTAGGGAGCGGGCTTTTTCGACATTGCCTGTCAGGGTCAACCACGTATGAGTTATAAACAGCATCCCAGCAGACAGACGAGGATATTTGATTTTAATATTTAAAACAACAACAACAACACCCCCCCAAAAAAAAAAACAACAACCCCCAACCCAACCAAAACCAAATAACAAACAAACAAACAAACCAGAACACAAAAACAAACACTTTCCCACCCGGGAATTGAACTTGAGTCTTCTGCGTGCGACAACGAAGAGCCTCATCACATCACTACGAATGTTGGTACAGTCATTGTAATTCACACATCCCCAGTAAACTCTTCTCCACAAATGTGGTTCCCATTGGCATTAACAGAAGCCAAAAGCCATCTTAATCCATATTTCTTCTTCTGTTATTATTATTATTATTATTATTATTATTATTATTATTATTATTATTATTATT